TCCCGAGTCGTGTAATAATCAGCAATACTACACAACAAAACGTCTAATAAGTTATTTATTATCCAACGCGCCAAACTGTTATTTCAGTGCGGGCGAATTTCGCGGATATTTATTTACGAGGTGTGCTTGACAGAAGTATGCGAAGCGCAACGGAACTGGCGCGTTGTGTTGCTGTTTCTATTTTCTTCATTAAATGAAGCAATTTTCTGGTCGTCAAGCTGTCTTTCTTTGTTCGATTCATCTAACAAACTTGGATCCATATTTGCCAGCCCTTCTGACTCTTCGTCGTGGGAAATATGATTCAAATTGTCCGCCACTTTTTTTTTTCGTAACTACAATCCAATTGAGATAGAATAAATATATGAAGTTCATATATTTTTGAACTGCGGTATAAGATACGTATGATGCATGATCTACTGCGAGGATCGTGCATCATACATACAATCCAATTCTTCGCTTGCGTGACGCGAGAAAACCTGTTTAACCGGTACTCTACAATAGACGAGTACAAATACCGCTTGCTATGAGTACTCGTCTATGGCGTTATTTGTACTCGTCTAAGTGTAGTTGGATAATAAATATAGATATTGACCGAGTGGGAGGACCACATAGGAAAAAATTTGGCTCGATCGATGTCATGAGATACGGACCAGAGCCAAATATTTTTCAGCGCGGCTGAACTTAGCTTTGTCAATAAACATTTTACAAAATGATCGACGCTCTTTTTTATCTCATCCTTTCTTCTTCTAGCTCGTTCTTGCAAAGTCTTCGGGATTTTTTGGCGCTGCTCGCGATGTCGCGTACAGCCCCCATATGGGGATGTTTTAAATAATGTTTTTCAATATAATAAAGGCGCGAGGGGTCCTACAACAAATATCATGATGATAAGTGCGCGTTGACACCCTATCCTCGGTACTTTTTGAAGTGCTCATCCTGTCAAAGGACGTCCATCGACCACTGTCATTACTATTGGCGAATAACGATAGCCGGTTAGCGTGGTTTCTTACAATAATTATTTGCAAGGTTAGGGTACTATCGTTAAATACTGCAGTTAAGCATTTTTCAGCAATAAAATGCGGTATTAACAGTATTTTTGGCGAGAAAAGGAAAAGTTACCGGAGTACGTGCTTAACCCTAAGTAAGATCTATACATGTCTGTAAACCAAATTTTTAGGAGATGGAGAAGAGTAAGTAATGTCGGTGCATATGATGTTGCACATTGGTTTGAAAATTAGTGAACTAAACTAACAGCGTGCTGGTTAGAAATGAAAACGAATGAAACTTTTGAAACTGATTTAAACCCGATAAAAACAGCCTCAACTTTACCGAGCTGATAAGTTAAATTACTTGGTCTACCTTGGTTACCTGGAAATCCAGCCAAAGGGTCAACTCAGGAGAAAAACATGATGATTGGGCAAACAGTCATGAAAGGAGTCAGTCGTAATTATGTTTAGTACTTGTAGAGGAATTAATTAAAACGTTGTTAATTAGAAAGAGGTCACAATGGTTATGTTCAAACTTTTATAATCTTTATCCTTTGATAATTTTTTTTAAAAGTAAGCAATGTCTTTAACGTGGGTCTTCATTTCTCGTTATCTTGCACAACTTAGTTAACCGTTTCCTCTCATAGGGATATGGAACAATTTTCTAAAAACAAAAAGCTCCCTTTCCGGAAAGAAAAATCTTACCCCTAGATCAACGGAGCAAGAATAAGAGCGGAAAGTAATTAATTAGTGCAATCATTCACTTCATCTCCGTCTTGAAACAAAACTTTTCCTCCCTCGCGAAGACAAAACAACAAAAATTCAAACCTAGAATATAATTGATGTGGAATATTGATGTTGGTGAACGCCATAATAACATTTGACGCGCGTGTCTCCCATAAAAAAGGGAAGAGGAGGAGCCCCTGGAAGACCCTGACCCGGATCTAATCGCATAGGCCTCGGTATATTTCAGAAGTGAAGGGTAGCTTGAGTGTTTTTCAAATTTCTGACACGTAAAAAAATCGGTTTCAGTTTCGTTGTAAAATTGTAGCTTAACATCTTAGTAAGGTTGAGGACTTGTGGCAAGACGACTTTTGATCTGTGGCGAAACAATTTCGGAACGAAACACCTTTGAGCAGGTAAAAAATATTGTTAAAAAAAGGAAACTTCAAATCGGCCGTAAGAGACAAAATTCACCATTGAGGCATCCCAGTCTCGTCGTTCCTACCTACCCCAAGCTCCTCCCGTCCATGTACTTTACCCTTTCCAGTCCTTCTCGGTTCGAAACAACATGGCCTCTATGTTAGGATGGAAGCAGTTGAGAAGTGTGCTAAGAAACCTCCTCACTTTTGAAGAACGAATGTTGTGTAATCTTCGAATTATTTACACAGAGCAATACCTACCAAATACTTCCTTGTTGGGGAACGTTGTATCACCCATCGATTCAACTGAGTGCTTACAAACTGAAGGACATAGCGACGATGGATTTTTGTTGATGGCCGTTCCCAAGAAGAGGACCACGGTACACAAGCGGAAACTGAGAAATCGGCACAAGCAGCTCAAGAATAGAACGGACATCGAGGTTTGTGCAGTATGCGGGAACTACAAGGTAGAGGGTCAATTGTGCGGTTACTGTGTGGAAAGAATAAAGGAGAAAACTAAAGCGTATCGAAAAGAGAAAAATGAAGATTCGATTCAATGGCCAATACCGGAGTTTTTGAAAAAATTCAGAACGTAGTGAGTTATGGAACCAATAGCATTGTAAGGCCTCTGCCTGTTTTGACTCAAAGGCGATACTTACAACGACAGTGCTTTAGTTTGAGCGGAAAGTTGTGGTCCTCAATCAATTTTACTTGCCATCAAGCTCAACTCTCTTTTTTTGTTATGACTGTTACCTTCCGGAAGAATTGTTTGATTTCTTAGATTGTTTGAAGTTTTATTTTTTATGGATTGCACCTGATGGCAGTGTAGCTGTTTGTTGTGTGCTGGGAAAATTGTTTACATTATGCACTAACTACTCTTTTAATGTAAATGAAAAATAAAAACAAAGCACATTAAAACTGAAAATGACCTTCTTGATAATGAGTATAATAAAAAGTTTTGGGACCTTTTAACATAATTCTCCTGTATTCTCAAATTACTGAAATTGCCTGCTCTAACTTTGACTAGGCTCAATTACCAGCCACTATTTGGGAAATGAGCCTGGACTCACCCTCCAAAGGCATGGCTGGATCTGCTGAGTATGTGTCCAGCCTTTCCTTCTTGGGAGGATTAAAAACAAGAGGTGAGGAAACAGTGGAAATTGAGCCTAACTTTGAATGGCTGCCAATGAGGCTAGGAGCATAACTTCCTCTTGTCAAGGATTAGATACATAACAATTCTTGTAATGCAGTTTAAGTTCACATTTTCCATATTTGCATACCAAGACTCAATTGCCTCAAAATTCTGACCCACAGAATGACACTCACATAGATTTTTAAAATGAAATGGACAGATCTAGAAACAATTACATATATTAATGTTAAGAGAAAAAAAGAAATGATTATTAACAAAGAATATCTTTATTATCAAACAAATTCTCTTTGTCATCACTTTAGGGAATGTATGGGTAACATTATGAAAAATATACAAACTGATGTCCACCTTTTCCATCAGTTATTCATGTCATCACTGATAACAAATATAAAAGGAAAAGCTTTGACTTTCATGACAATTTTTCATTACTTGCTATTATGTTTGAAAACTTCTGGAGCACCAGTACTGTAACGTATCTATATATATGAATAAAGGCTGATAGTTTCTAAAGTAACTGTTTGGGGCTGCGTCGGTGGGGGTAACGAAATAATTTGGATATATCAACAAAGTTGAAATGGTAAATTGGCCACGTAACGATTACAAAAGCTGACATTTCGAGTGTTAGCCCTTCGTCGGAGCGAATAGAGGAATTGTGGGTTGTGTGTGCATTTTCTGTCTTTAAAAGCACACACAACCCACAATTCCTCTATTTGCTCCGATGAAGGGCTAACGCTTGAAACGTCAGCTTTTGTAATCGTTACGGTGGCCAATTTACCATTTCAACTTTGTTGATATATCCAAATTATCTATATATATCCTGCCTTCCAAAAATCTTTTAATTGATTCTCTTGCCTCCCCTCAGGAACTTCTCTATAATGGAGATGGAGGTTCACTTTTATCCTCTTGGTAATAGGAAAATGAGAATGCAAATTTCCTTTTTTAAAGGGGAACTGAGGCCTAAAATGAACCATTTTTAAATTGCAGCTTATAGTTCAAATAGCAATGTTCGAGGGTTTTTTTCAGTCTTTGGGCCCAACTTCGCCTCGAAAAAATAGTTCAAAGTGGTATTTTGGCCTCGTAGTACGGCAGCTCAGAAAAGCGATGTCAGCGGTCATTTTAGCTTGCTCTTATGTCACTGGTGGGGAAGAAAGATAATAATCCTGTACTCTTCCTACAGAAATTTGGTTTGGCTATGGAGTTATCGAAGTTGCCTGGCTTGTAATGGGGATTAACTATGAAAATGAAATAGTAACAGTTGTTTTTCTTAAGTTGGTTTCCCACCAACGACCACTGCTGATCTATTTTGAGCTGATGGTCTTACAGCCCCAAAAGCAGGAAAAAGGCAACTTCAAATCAAATTTTCTCATAAAAAAACAAGAAGAGAATGAAAATGAATATCGACACTTTATCCTACTCCTCTAAAGCTAACTAGAAATGAATGAAAACAATATACTAATTTTAGGCTTCAGTTCCCCTCGAAGAGATTTAGTAGGGAGCCTGCGATCCAGTAGGTCAGTAATCATTGATTACAAATATCATGCGTGAATCGTATGGGAAGTTTTGACTACAGTGACTGTAACCGACCTAATTAGTCCAGTCGATGCGATAACCGCTTGACCGGTCCAACGAGAGTAGCAGATCTGAGATGAACATAAACGTCCACGAAGATGACCGATCGGCAGTTTTCAATCATGCCCCGGACTGTCTAAGATCGAAGGGTCTTCCGAGATGTACCTGCGATGATTTGCCAATCTTTGATTGTGAAGAGGAATCACCTCTAATAACATACCAAAACTACAGCGAAGGGCCCGATGTTAGCTATCTCACGGATATTCATTGCCACGAAAGTAAACCTATTCATTCGAATGCAAGAGCAAGAAAGAAACTGGTCGTAGCAAGCGTGGTTTGCCTTCTTTTCGTGATCGCAGAAGTTGTCGGTGAGTATCACATTATCGGATTGGAAATTTTTGTGTTGAATTATTTGAGTGGCACCAGGTCAAAATAACAAAATGTAGATGTAGATGCCTAGACGCACTTGGCTGTTTTCCTTGGTATAAGTATTCAGCAAATGGTGAGAGAATTTCCTAGATCTAATCTGTTTCCTAAATCCAATCTGCCTCTACTTGCTCCCGCGGCCCTGCACAGCGAGATGCGGATGGCAGACTAAAATTATATTTGGGTGATAAATGGAATGTTGCGAAATATGGACGCCATTTCGACTCCTCAGGAATCTTTGTCATGAATAAGTGTGTACACAAACCAAAATTCGACAAAGAAGAAATAAACCGAAATTGTTGCTATGGTTCAACTGAACAACGCTTATCTTGTTATATGTGATGCAAATTTGCATTCTTAACGTACAAGTTCGAACTGAATACAAATTGAAATTTAATCTTTCGAATATTACATCAATTATCAGTTAGGAGCGGACGAAGGATTAACGCTCGAAACGTCAGCATTACAAAGTGTCTACGGTGGCCAACTTAAATTATTGTCTCTCAGTTGAAAAACAAGAAAAAAAAAAAAAACAAACTCTTAGGTAATCGCTTCGCCCGCCAACATCGTGGGAACAGTTTAATATTATAACAACTTGTCATTTTGAGACACAAGTCGGAGGAAAATTATCACGCAAATTTATTGTAACCCAGGGAAATATTAATTACGTAAGAACTGACGAAAACCAATATTTGAAAAAAGAATAGAAAAATGTTTTTGGTTGTGATATCGATCGTGCAGTTAATTTTTATTTGTCAATTTAGGTGAGAGAAAATTACCATTTCGTGCATGTAGCTTTATTAACTTTGAGTGATATGAGAAAATCTCCAGAGTGTATGCCCCGTGTAAGGTTTAAATGTTGCCAGGTATATTGATTGGTTTTATAAATTTTGTTTTAATCATTGCAAAACTATCAAGCAATTGCAAAAATATCCTTTGGGTAATATTATATGATATGTGGTATCATTACTATTAATAATTATTGTCAAACAATATTCTTATATTGTGACATTTTTCCTTAATGTTTTCAATATATGCAGCATGCAATATCTCTACCATTTTTCTACACTTCATTTGCAGAACACTTAGAGAACATTAACTCACCTCATTTGCCAAAAATATATTTGAAGTGCTTGTTCAGTGATGTTTAAACTCAACAATTCCTGCCATAACTGTGTAGTTTCCTGCTTTGGATAAAGCAAAACCTGTTGTAACTTGTATTTTGATGTTTACTGTGATCATTGGTTTTAAAACAAAAAAACAGTCTAGAGGAAAAGGGTTGAAGATTGTTAGTTATTTGTTTGGTGATCCAATTACAGGTACTGAAAGAAATAGTCCAACATGAGCTTATAATTTCCTTTTTTGTGATTTTTAAGTAGTCTCATCATTTACAAAAACATCTCTGCTAAATCTCGATTAGAGTAAATTTTGGATATTTTTTAATAAAGAGGGGAATTCTATCTTTTTATCAGACGGTGTGTGTTTCCTTCTATGCAGCCATTTTATGAATGACTTCTCTTTGTAGAGAAAAAGCAAGACAATTCAAATCTAGGTAGGGGTAGGGTGGGGAGGTGACATGACATCAAACATCTGCATATTTCAGATTTTCAGAGTCTGGCATCTATCAAAACTTGTACTGGTCATATTGATAGATACAAGGGAGTTTGTTATCTCAAACCTGGAGATATACAGAAATCCAATAAATAAAATTATGTCAAATTCTTTTCATCAAACTTTTCTTTTGGTTCCTTTACATTTTTTTTTTTTTTTTAAGAAAACTCATTTTCAGTGAAAATTTTTACACTAGTAATGTCTGGTGATACTATGTACAGTATCTGGAACTTCTGCCCATAGGTGGTTGGCTTGCTGGTAGTTTGGCCATTATGACAGATGCTGCTCATATGTTATCTGACTTTGCGTCATTCCTAATCAGCCTTTTTGCTATCTGGGTTGCCCAGTGGCTTCCAGATAAAAGGAGGACATTTGGCTATTACAGAGCAGGTAATAAAAACAGGAACTAATTTGTTCTCGATTTAATTTGTAGTTTGTGGAATATTACCGTGGAACCTCCATTCAGGAAACACCCTTGTTGGGTTGGGGTTTGTAAATAATTAACATGCCATGTTTGTTCAAAGTTGACTGAAACCAAAATGTCAATCCATAACTGTCTCTGATGTGCACCTTTGTCACTCATGAACTGAAGCTACTCTGGCAACAAATTTAAAGCTGTTATCAATTAATGTATGTTTTTAAGGAAAGCTGTCATCATTTTGATTGGTGTATACACTTAATCTTCATGGTCAGTCTCCTTTTGAGTAATTTGAATATATCAACAAAGTTTAAATGGTAAATTGGCCACCGTTACGATTATAAAAGCTGATGTTTTGAGCGTTAGCCCTTCGTCAGAGCAAACAGCCCTTTGTCATTCGCTCCGATGAAGGGCTAATGCTCGAAACGTCAGCTTTTATAACTGTAACAGTGGCCAATTTACCATTTCAACTTTGTTGATATATTCAAATTATTTCATTACCCCCACCGAGGCAGCCCCAAACAGTTTCTTTAGAAACTATCAGCCTACTCCTTTTGAGTAGTTTAGGTGTCCCCTCAATGAATGGCAAAACTAGGCTTGGGCACTTAGAATAAAGGTGTCCCTTCAAAAGAGGTGATGGATGTGAAGATTACTGGTATGTGAACATTTTTGTGGGACCAAACTGTGTCTCCTTGAATGGAGGTTCCTTAATTAAAAGAGAGGTTCTATTGTCAGGGTTTGACACAAACTTTTTGTCATTTTGAATGGAGGTTCCTTAAAAGAGAGAATCTATTGTCAGGGTGTGATGCTAACTTTTCAACTTACTAGCTAAGTGGCTAGTGACATCTTAGATGTTAAGACAATTTCAATTTGTTTACCAGGCAAACTGGCTAGTGGAAATAAAAAACCACCAGCCAAAACTGAATTTCTACTAGTCTGTGGCTGGTGGGCTACCGTTAGTGTCGAGCCCTGATTGTATGTAGATGTGTTAACAGTAGGGATGTTTGATGTTGAACTTGTGGTTTCAAGAGCAATATGAGAAAATAACCATGAATGAACTGACAAAAGGAAAGCTGGGAAGTTAACATATATTTACTGTAAAAGTCCATGGATAAGCTGACTTTTTTCCCAAAAATCGTCACTAGAAATGTAGGGTGCAGCTTATCTGCACGAACATTTGAAAAAGGCATTGTGAATGTCCATTTTTGCATCCAATCTAATGCCTGGTTACTAAGCTTCTAAAGTTCTGCTCATGTTCTTGTTGTAATGCAAAAATCTATGGAAAAACTGTGTTGAGTGAAGAAATTCCTGTCAGCAAATACCAGTAAAGGACCAATTGTATGTCAAATTTGGTAGAAACGATGTTCATTATATTAAAGTGCTAAAATTGTGCATAACACTTTGAAATATTTTTCTGTTGCAATGTTAATGATGAGTTTATGTGCAATGAACAGTGGATGAAGAAGACTTCTCAAGACTCAACTTTGGATTTCTTTTGATTTCCATCAAAAAAATTTTTCAAAATTTTGAGCTGCTAAATTTGGGGTGCGGTTTATCTGTGGGTGCGGCTTATCTGCAGGCTTTTACAGTATGAGTAGGTTGAGGACATTGGTAAATTAAAGGCCTATTAATTATTTTATGCTAAATTTTGACTCACATTGAGTTCCCCCTTTAATTTATTTTGAGATGATAGATTAGAATTACAGGGCTATTTGCTCATCGCATTGGAGAATGTAAGGGCTTAGATGAGAGGATACAATAGGCTTTATGCAGCTGGGGTCACGTGATCAATTTTAGATATATGTTATGGGATACAACTTGAAGAATACCAGAGATGAAAAGAGCATATCGAAAATACCAAAACGGCCAAGTTTGGGTCCCGGGAATTACAGGGCACTGTTTTTACAGCGGTTTGAACTTTCAGAAAATTTAGAGGATTTGTATGGAAAATGTTGCTGGAGAGCAAGGCCTTGCTCTCCAGCAACTTTTTCCATATAAACCTTCTTATTTATTAAAAAATTCAGAGTGTCATCAAATCTCATTTTTGAATAATGGAGGCCTCCAACTTGGCCATTTTGTTATTTTCGAAATGCTTTTTCCTTTTCTGAATTCGGCTAAGTGATAGCCCATAATTTCATGAAAGTAGGTCACATGATGGCTTAGCTGCAAAAGGCCTGTTACAATGAATAAACTTGTTTTGATTGGTTTTTATGTCTTTGATCTTTTCAGAGGTACTTGGTGCACTTGTGTCAGTGCTTATCATTTGGGTGTTAACCGGAGTGTTGGTGTATCTTGCTGTGATAAGAGTCTTGTCAAAGGATTTTACGATAAATGCAGATATCATGCTTATCACAGCAGGCACAGGATTAGGAGTGAATATCTTGTAAGTTGTCATGATTTGTTTGTATAGACTTGCACATAATATACATAGATTTGGAAATCAATTGAGAATGTTAGAGTGTTTACAAGCGTAATGGAAACGTGTGACTTGTGATGTGGCAACATCCGGGACAGTTACAAAAGAGCGGTTGTGGTAGTTTTTGTAAAAAAAGAAACAAAATATATTTTTCTAGAAGCGGTATAGTTATTAAGAGTTCTTTGTGGTTCTTAAGTTGGATGCTAAAATATCATCACGAAGACCAGTTTTGAAGGATTTTACAAATGTCTTCTGGATCAGAGAGAGGCCATAATTAAACTCACAATCCGATTCCTGATTGGCGAAATTTACCTGGTTACGCAGGTCCAAAGCACAGATTAGGAATTGCTGCAGTGACTCATTGCTTTGTTGGCATACGGTTGCGAGCTGTTGATAGACCTCAGATACAGCTTTCTCCCAGTAGTGGACACAGAGAATACTCCGTAATTTTGAGAGGGAGAGGTCACTTAAGGTTTCCACATAACTTCTAAGACTGCTATGGGGGGATATCACACAAATCACGGCATCTACAATTTCACTTTCTTTAAAACCACATTTAAGACCAGAGTCGATCTATCTGATGCATTAAGGACACAAAGGTCAATTTTTCTGTCTGTCCTGGCTCACCAGTCTGTCCCGAAAGTTTATATTCTCTGCGGAGTAATGAGGAGATAGCTTTTTTTTTTTTTCTACATTTGAGCCAGAATATCCTCTGCCCCTTGTTCAACTTGTTCTTTTTTTTAACTTTCCCTGGGCACCCATTTGTTTGCTCTTTACTCTAGCAGCTACTTTTGGCCCTGTCTCCTCAGTTTGTTTGAGAGGAGGTACAGTTCCTTTAACGTAAGCAAGCAGTTGTTCCAGACATGTGCATGCAACCTTTTCATTGCTTTCCATTTTGATGTCAACTTCTTTCCTGATAATTTTAATCCTCTGCATTTTAGTTTTCCCCATTACATCATCCTCAATTCCTAATAGATCTATCATTTCAGCTAGGCTGCCCTCATCTTGATCAAACAATAGTGTTTCTACTTGCAGTTGCAATTGCTCCATAATATCGAAACACACTGTACAATGCAGCGAGCTCCAAAACACAAATGTGTAGTTCAGAGTGTGGATATTCAAACAGAAAGAGTCAAACTATCTGTCTCATCGACTCCACTGCGGAATTATCTTAATCTGCCACTAGAATTCAACTGATGCACTCTTACCGTTAGAGTCTGACTGGTAACTCCTTTCACAATTCCATGTGATTGTCTCCATGCACTCACTCGCCTGAATTCTCCACTCGAAATCCACGTATTCTGCTTCACGTAAATCCAAGAGTTATTCTCCAAACTTGTGATCTGTGGTTGGTCCCACCAAGGGTGCCAAATTGTTACCGTACTCCAAGAACCACAAAGAACTCTTAATAACTAACGCTTCTAGAAAAATGTATTTCTTGTTTCTTTTTTTACAAAAACTACGACTTACAACCACTCTTTTTGTAACTGTCCCGGATGTTGCCACGTCACAAGTCACATGTTTCCATTACGTTTACACTCTAACAAGAACATGAATTTTTTTGTTATGCTGTAATTTCCACTTGTGATGGTAACCTTGTTGTGAAGACTGGTGATTGCTAGTCATCTGTTGGTAAAATGTGAGCTCACACATGGCCAAGTTTGGAAAGCCATCAAATAATGAATTGATATAATGTCTAAATGTTTTTATTGCTCATTAGATGAAAATACATATCTAATGTTACGGGTTAAAAACAGTGTGGGGAATTTGCATACTGATGTTGGGGTCTAAAGGAGTGTTTTTCATTTTTTTTCTTTTGTATTAGGTTAGGTATTATTCTCCATCAGACAGGCATTGGACATAATCACAGCCATGGTGGTGGAGGTCACAGTCATACAAGCACCAGTCATGCTAGCCATAATGGGAAATTTGAATCCGTTTCTACCAATCGAATTTTAAGAAGTGGAAGCCTGTCTGGAAAACAAAACATCAATGTGCGAGCTGCATTTATTCATGTTTTAGGAGACATTGTTCAGAGTGTGGGAGTCCTTATTGCAGCATACATCATCAAATATAAGGTAATGATGAAAAGAATTATACCCTTACCAAAAGTATGCCATTGAACCTTTTATGCAGTGTGTCTACTGAAACTAAGGAAACTAGGGCACTGAAAGTCATTCAGAGGGCTAAACCAAATTGATAGATTCTAACAGTTTCAAATTCAACCAACCTACATGTTTGCTATGGTTAAATTTCCATTGCAAACCATCATTTTTTTGATCTTTTGTATGCTTGTAGGTTAAAGTAGTATGAATTTGTTTAAGTAGCGGGAATGTAAACTTATAAGCTCAAATTAAGGATGTTTCTTAGTGGCCATAGTTTGGCTGTAGAAATGTGATGCACTGGAAAAGACCTTAAATTGCCTAATCATGGTAACTTGATGCATTGGAAAAGACCTTACATTGTCTAATCATACCAAAGATTGTAGAAAGAAAAGGAAAACTGTTTCCAGCCTCCTTGACTGTTACTCTGACACAGAAAGTGAAAACCTAAACTACTCTCCTTTGAAGGGTTTTCTCTTTCTCCATAAAAAATTACCTTGAGGCAGAGAGATAACCTTGAAAATCATGAGGGCTGACAGCACCAGACACTTTCATAATGAGAATCTTCATTAAAAAAAAAAAAAAAAGAAAAAGAAAAAGGAAAGGACCTTTATTTAAACTTGGGTTGTTGAGGCTGATTACGCCCCTAGCAATACATGCTGATATGCCTAGCAAACTAACTAAGGGCTTAAAAATCCCCACTGGCAGGAGGCAGACCAGTGGGCTATTTACAGAGCGCAGCCGAGAAGTTGAACTAGGTTCAACCGAGAACAAATCCAATGAGTGGCAGGGTGGAGGACTTGACTCCGGGACACCAGATTACAAGTCCAGCACCCTAACCACTCAGCCACGCCACCTCTACAATAAATGTGAACATCAGAGCTGACACAATCACACAATTAATTTTGCATGTGAACAATCAAGTGACACAATTAGTCACAATCAATGACATAATTAATTGCTGACACAATTAATTTTGCATGTGAACATCAGAGCTGGCACAAGCAAAATTAACTTGACTTCTGTTCAACTGAAGTGCTTTGAATATATTAAAGGGTGGTTTGGAACCTGGCTAGCGCTGTCTTGAGCCTAAGCTGGCTTAGTTACATTAACTCCCATTAAAGTTGAATATTACCTAATTTCACTATTTAAGGTATGACCCAGTCTAATTTTGCTATTTATGTGTCCAACAGCCCGAATGGAAGCTTGCTGACCCTATCTGTACATTCCTTTTTTCTCTGTTGGTTCTTCTAACAACTCTTAACATTCTCAAAGAGACAATTCATGTTTTGATGGAAGGTAAGCAAATAAGTTAAAGCTTTCTTTACTGCCATTTGAAATCAAACAGCTTCACTCCCTTAACCATTGAACTCCCATTGTCAGTCAGATATTACTGTCTCAATTGATGATCAAAGTACTGCTGGTACTGCTGAAGGTTTCCTTCTGAAGTACTTGTGTGAGGCATTAATTGTTTTGTACAAATTTATTTGACTGTATCAAAGCGATCACTAGGATACACCCTTGGTACAAGTGAATAGGGTTTGCAAGATAGTTTGGGTTCAAGTTATCTATTTAAACTTTTTTTTCAGTTGTAAAATTTGAAGATATACTTATAAACAAGTTGGTGTTATGATAAGTTGGTTGCATTCCATGACAGACATGTAGCTTTAGATCTCAATAGTGTGCTTTCTCCTTGTTGCAACCTTACTGGTAACATGAAAAACTTATTTACCAGGCACTCCCAAAGATATCAAGTACAATAATGTCAAGGTGTCACTGGAGGGTATTGAAGGAGTTGTGGCAGCACACAGTTTACACATCTGGTCCCTGACAGTCAACAAAGCTGCTCTAGCTGTCCATTTGGCAATAGGTGTGTGTATGGATAAAACTTGAATGCAAGATTTTGGCAAATGATTTTTAACCATCTGTTATGAAACTTGGCAAGGAGAAAAGATAGTTGTACAAGAGGGAGGTAATTTGTAGTGTGACACTTACAGTGACCAGATGGGTCAGCCTATAGCACTCTCTCAAGGGTCTTTTGGGTATTGAGAGGGTTGCTTGATAACTTTTTTTTTTAAAGTTTTTCTTGTGCAAACCAAACTTGTGTGTACACTGGCCTAACTCTTTTGTCAAAAAAAAAAATATATGATAATTTTTAACCATAGCAAGACACTTGATGAAAATTTTAATGCTACATGTACCATCAAAAATGCAGTTCCTCTATGCTGGTTTTAACCCCACAAGTGAAGCATAGTACACTTGATATCATGATATTCCATTTTTGTCTGATCGTTATGGTGTAATGACAGAGTTAAGGTAGGTGAAGTCTGCTTACAAGCGAAGTGGCCCATCAGGCCTGTGCTTAATTCTGGTTTCTGTAGTCTGTAGCATGAAGCAACAAGGAGTATTTCTACTCCCCCCCTGGATGGAATGCCAGTCCATCGCAGGGTTACCCCCAGCTTTAAATTCACCAGTACCCATTTATTCTCCTGGGTGAAGAGAGGCACTGTGAAAATAAAGTTTCTTGACCAAGAATACGACACAACACATAGCTCTGATGACTATGTACAGTTGCACTCTAACAAGATACATTCCTGAATTGAATTATTTTCAAACTCATTGTCATCGAATGTTTTTCTCCAGAACAAGGATATGACTCACAGAAAGTCCTCAACATTGCAAATCAGAAGTTGAAGAACGACTTTCATATTTACCACAGTACTATTCAAGTAGAGCTGTATCAGGAAACTGTGATGACTAACTGCTCTGAGTGTCAAGACTTGCAAGACTAAATTTTTCAGGTGTAGATGATGGCATGGTGCGAGGTCTGGGTGCTGGTATCACCTTTAGGCACCACAATTATGGTCAAATAAGTAAGCCCTGTAGTTCTTTTAAATAACCCTTTAACTCCAGGAGTGATAAACATGTAACTTCTCCCTTCTATATCCATACATTATCCAGTAAACAAGTGATGAGAATATTCAAACTTATCAGGTAGAAGTTGTTATCTTGATGTAACACCAAATTCTCATCACTGATTTACAAGGAAATGTGTAGCAATCAAAGGGGAGAATTAATAAATTAGATCTTGGGAGTAAAAGGGATAACCATGAAACTGTGCTTTGCACTCCTTGTTTCTGTATAATAACTTGAATTTAAAAGTCATTCCACCAATACAATTTGATTATTTTTATAGACAGTTATTGAGTGTAGGTACAATTAAAGTTAACTGTTATGGGCTGTAACAGTTGAAGTTTTATGAAGTCTCATTTGTTGTGATGATCCAAAAATGTGCAAGTCATTTTAAAGTCACATTGTACTGAATTACATGACTAGCCATAGATCAAAATCACATATTAATCAGTTTGTTTGTGTAATTGTAAATTACCTCACCTAGACACCTGGGTGTTGAAAATATTGTAGGATGTATAGACAATCATAGAAAATCTCTGAACCTATCCAGAAAGCATTAAAATCTATGTAGTTATTTCTTGTTTCCATTACAGATTCCTTAAACAAGAAAACATAGCAGAAATTGAGCTCAGTTTGAGCAATCAGTTATGATTTCAGTTTTCCATATAAATAGCAACTCCTTGACAAGGCAATCAATTTACCTCTACATTTTGCTGGTATTTCTTTGCATCACTGAAAGTTTATGCAGTAAATTCTTCTTTAAAAGGTGTTTCAAATTTAGACAAATTTAACTCCTTTTCTAAGAAGTGATTACATATTCTAATTATTTTAAGTGAGGATTTTCACTTTACAGCCATTTAGGTTCTTATAAAGAGCAGCATAAACAATGATTATATGTAGCAAGCACTGGTTACTTTATGAAACTACAAAGGACTGGTGCATGTAAATTTTGATCTGTATTATACATGATGACTATTTCATAATTTGAATCTCTGGTACCATTTAATGTACTTTCAGTTGTACTATCAGAAAAATTGTTGACTAGTTTTCTAGGACCATGTATTTGAGTTTGTTCCCACTGTGACCTTTTTTTGACAGTCATTTGGTAAGTGGTAACATTTTTATTTGCATGCAATGCTATGACAATGCACCTTCATCTTCTTTAAGAACATTTCCACTGGCTGTGTCCAAGTTTTAAGCCTTGATAAGTTGTATGAAACTTTAGCAATACTTTTTTTTGGGTGACCAAACTGAAATTTCTGGCAACCTTCTTATGATGATTGCAGAATAGTGATTTTCCAAGGAGTTGAACTTGAGAAGGGAACATTTTTAAATTTGGGGAGATGGGAATTGTTTCTCACAAAATATTGAATTTTTAATATATTTCCAGTACTAATGTAGAACTTTGAAAGTGGCTTAATGCATTTTTTTTTCAAATGCCAGTGACAGTAACTGATGATTAAATAATCATAAACTTATGGTGTTATATCATGGTAATTTATTTTCATAAATAAACAGAGACTATTATATTACAAAATAGAATTAAAAAGTATACTTTTTTATAAAATCTGACTTGCCTTTTTTTTTAATGTATCTTGTTTTGTTTCATTGTTTTTGTTTTTGTTTGTTTTCTGCATCTTTATGGACATTCATACAAAGTAGACGTCATTGGAAACGCTTTCTAAATAATGAAGTAAAATCTAATGATCTTAACGAAGCAAACTTGGTCAACAAAACATAGCTCTTAGGACAGGAGCAGAAGTTTAGCAGGCTAAGCTTGAATCTTCTCATTTTTTAACAAACAGTTGTAACGTATCCATTCCAGTTTCCGCAGTGACTTAATTTCTCCTGCTCGTTGAATTTTGATTGTAAGGACTTCCTCACTACAAAAATATCACGAAGTTACCCCTCTACCTGTTAGAGGTCTGCGTATTAGACTGACGGCATAATTTTTAAGTTTGATTTGACCTTTGCATGACCCTTTGCGTGACATTTGTAGTGAGGCTGCATGACAAATGATTTTACGTGTGCGCCTGCGCGATACGAGCGCTAAATTCAAAATGGCGCATTCCAGTGGCTTTCCAAGGTCAAAAAACGATACTTTTCGACCACGATTTTCATCTTTCCAAGGTCCTTCTCCCTCGAATATGGCTCATCCACCTCCACTCATGTCTGGTCCACCTCCACGTGTCCCATTTCCCTCCCAAGATTTCCTAATTGGCGGAGGCCCAATCCAACAGACTCGACCACCATCACAACCCTGGAGACCACCAAACCGAAACTCTCCTACTTCTCGCCATTTTCGAGGTTCCGAAGCGGCACAGCGATTTCCAAACGCCAAAGAAAAGCTGCACAATATTCTTCAAGGTGCTCTAAAGGGAAACTCTTTGTCTTTCTCAAACAAACAAGTGGATTTCAACTTGTGGCAATCCACCGTGACCATACCATGGCCTAGACCAATGTCTTTTTATGGCGATGGTTTATCTAAGCGAGAAGCTGAAAAAAACGCAGCTGCTCTTGCTTGTGTTGAATTGGAGGTAGGAAGACATACAAAAGTAAAGATGTCAGGAAAGTCTGAAAACAAAATGAAAGGATCAAGTTACTGTGAGATTGAAGAGTTTATGGAAAGGAGCTAAGGAGAGTGTAATTAGAACCCCTAGTAACAGCCCTTGAAATCGTTCCAACTCCCGAAACTATCCTCGACTCTTTAAAAATTTTCTAACGAAATATGACCCCAAATCTAGTCCCTGATATGACCCACAAGCCTCAAACGATCAAGTCATTTCTCCTTGATGATCCGAAATTATATCAAGGAATTCACAGTTTGCAAATAAATTAACACTTTACAGCTAAACATTAATAGCATATTCTCCATATGCTGTTCTCTTCACATTCCTTGTGGTGTTGACATGGAGAATTTGTTCACCACTCAAGAGCTTCTGTAGTTGTGATCATTTCCTTTATTCTCGACTCGTTCCCTTAAGGTGTGATACAGGGGTGATTTTTTTGAGGAGAAATTAGATGCTGGTCCCACTTAGTGGTTAAGGGGTTAAGTATTTTTTGTAAGTAGGGGGGAGGGGTAAGTTTTTAAAGAAACTGTGGTGCTGCGTCGGTGGGGGGGTAACAAGGTAATTTGGTTTTATCAACTAAGTTGAAATTATAAATTGGCTACCGTAAAGAGCTAAAAAGCTGATGTTTCAAGCGTTAGCCCTTCGTCAGAGTTAGCTCTTCGCTCTGACGAAGGGCTAACGCTTGAAACGTCAGCTTTTTAACTATTTACGGTGGCCAATTTACAATTGTAGCTTAGTTGATAAATCCACGGCAAATTATTTTTTGTAAGGTTCATTGTTATGCAACCACGTTCCCAAGTAGGGGAAAAGACAATGGGAACGGGGTAGATTGTTATGATGGGTTCTGAGGGTGTCCTGCTTGTATCTGGTTATGTACAAAACTATGTTTTCTTTTATTTTCTTGGGTAAGTTTGCTATGGTGTAGAATGTCTTCGTATTTGTTTGATTAAGTTAAAGCCTTCTCATATTGTTGCAGAAATCCCAGTTCCTTGTGCTACCGCTACACTCCATGCTTCCAATGTTTAACCAACGAGCAGTTTTTGAAAGGTTTGTTACCTAAAGGGTGTATAAAATCACGTTTGTAAGAATGAACGTAGGGACCCCACATTTTGTTGGAGATTGCAATTATAGAAATTTTAAACTATGCGTAGAAAAGTCGCATCCTGAAGGGTTATGCCATAACGGCAACCAGCTTTTCCTAGTCAGTATATCTCATTCCTTTCGCGGCATATTGGTATTTTGTCTTTTTTTTTTTTTTCACCTTGAAGCAAGTCAACTTTACTACATCGTTTTTCAACCTTCGTTTACCTCTCGATACGTTTTTTGTTCAGAATTGATAGCAGTGTCACTGTTCACACAAGTAATCGCGTCAAACAGAATAATTATATCATAGTTTTGGAGCATTGTTTCAAATGCGATTTGATCTAGGAACCAGTAGGGTGTGGGAGCGCCGATGTGACCTAGGGAATTTCACTACCGAAATAAACCTCCAACACTCTTTTTACTTCAATACAGTGTGTTATTTTATTTAGTTGGCAAGTTCAGCGGCTCAGGGGAATTGAATCAAAGTGATACATGGCACTGTTATCAGGGCCCGTTGTGGTGCAGTTTCTGTTCCCTCTGATCATTATCAATTTTAATTAACTACATACCTAAGTTAACTTTTTTTTCTATGAATCCTAGGATTTTCTCGCACGCGCAAGTTATGTTTATCGATTTTATGACAAAACGTCATCAATCGTGTTTCATACCTTAGAAAAAGTCAGTAACTAAAACAAACAAAAACATCGGAAAGATTTATGATGAATTGTCCCCTTTACGTTAATTGGAAATTTGGTTTTTTTTCTTCCCAGGCCCCCTGTTGGAGTGCGCAAGATTGTATTAGCAACAAACATAGCAGAGACTTCAATAACTATCGATGATATAGTCTACGTTATTAACGCCGGCAATCACAAGGAAAAAATTCATGATACAGGAAAGAAGGTGAATTAGATTTTAAGTAGGAATAGGCTGTATTTTCACCCGCCCGTACCGTTGATAAGACAAAAATATTTTCGCGTTACAGACTTCGGCAAGAAAGACTGGTAATCAACGTTCAAGTTATATTTCGACTCGATAAACCCGATCTCCCAAGAATGATGTAACATTTATTTCGTTTGTTGCGTGGATGTTTTTGTAGCATGTTTCAAGCGTTAAGTGGGTTAAATGAAGCGCGGTTACACGGCGTGATAGATGGAGGAGTGAAAAAACGAGGCAGGTTTGGGTCGAGGCGCGGAAATAACGCGAATCGACCCAAACCTCGCTCGTTTTTTTCGCATATCTTCTGCTAGCGCGTGGATTAAAATCGTTTTCCGTTTTACTAACCGTTGAACGCCTAAAAAAGGCATATGTTTTTGTGAGTGAATAAACTACAAGGCGGCGTGGGTTTTCTGAGTAAAACAAATTGATAGCATGAAAGTGACTGCTTTTAGATCCTCTTGTATTTGTCTATATATATATTTTTTAATATCGAGAGGGATCTTCTTTAGACTGGTTTTCGACGAACCGTTATAAAAGCAAAACCAAAGGAATCACAACAGCAAATCAGGAGAAAGAGAAATGTCACAAAAAGCCGATGAAGATTGAAAGTAAAACATACGAACATCTTAAAGCGCGGCAAAATGCGAGTGGTGAAGTCGCAAATTCTTCATTAAATTCATCAGCGCCACGTCGCAATTAAAGTATAAAGCTTAGTTAAAAAGCTTGTTGTTTCACTTCAACCGTTTTGTGTTAGGTTTCTTGTTTGATGACGCATTGGACATCTCAGGCCAGTGTGGTTCAAAGACGAGGAAGGGCAGGTCGTTGTCAACCTGGTTTGTGCTTCAACCTCTTCACAAGACAACGTTTTGAACATATGGGTATGTGTCTGTATCACAACACGGATCAACTTTATTTTATTGTGAAGGGTGAAACTCGGAAAATTGTGAACATTCTGATTTGACTCTGATGGGTTAATTGTGTGCTGAAGCAAAACATCGAACACTAGCGTGAATTGACGTGTAGCTGGTGCTAAGAGCGCGGTTTGTTTTCCAAGGGACTTCCCTGTTCTAAAGTTCCGAATTTGATTAATTGATGACTTTGAAAAAACTGTGATCTGACTTATTATTTCGCCAATTTTTTTTTTTTTTTTTTGCTTTCATAGCTCAGTACCAGTCACCTGAAATGCAAAGAGTTTCCCTCGAGGAGATCGTCCTCCAAACAAAGGTACGCGGGCAAGAACTCTGCTTCCAAGTGATGGTCTTTAAACAATTTCCCAAGGGAACACTGCGCTCTTTGAGTAAATTTTCTAAGGGTATGTATTCTCAATAACGTTCGCAGATCCAATCTATAGACGAATCCTGCTCCGTACGGAATTTTTTGTCTAAGGCTCTGGATCCTCCATCGCCATTTGCCGGTAAAATTATCTTTATTTTCCTAGATCAGTCAAGAGATTGTGCTCCTTTCGATTCAATCTAAGCTTAATGTAAGATTTGATAAAGAACGCGTTATAAGTGAACGGTTGAACTGCACTGTTTCCTTTCCAAGGTTTTAAGCGCTCAAACCATCTTGTTTGTGTCTCCAATTATAGTTCACCATGCAATAACACTGTTACAAGAGATTGGAGCAATGGACACAAAGGTATATTAAAATGTTCAAAAACAGCAACACTAGTGCTATGTGAAGTTTTTGTGGTTCTTATTTAATGACTTTATCAGAAGGAAATGCAAATTGTGGAGATTTTAGTCACGGTATTACAGTAGTAATACGTTGATCAATGAACATATAATGAGCGCAGATAGTTTAAAGAATGACGAAAGGAATTAAAAACCTTCTCATGTGGTTTTTAAACTTTAATAAAATGTTAGAGCTCGACCCCTTCAATTGGTCATGAGCTTAAATAAGGAAAGTGTAGCAGATTGTATTGTAAGTTCCGTCTGAGGCTAGAAGGATCTCCCAGTTAAAACACCGAAAATAATTTTTGTAACACTAATATTACTTTGATATTTTACGATAGGAACAATTGACGCCGCTTGGTAGGCACATGGCACATTTACCCGTCGAGCCACGAATAGCAAAAATGATTATCTACGGTGCTATTTTCAGGCGAGTGGTAATCTGTAGCAAGATATTGCCTGAGTGGTTCGGCTGCATTTATTTTTTGTCTTAGACGTTCCACTTGCCGAGACTCCTATTATGCGCGTAGGAGCTCAACCGTTTTTCCAAAGGAATTCTGTAAAAAGTGATTGAATTAGTCAACAATACTTTCCAGTGTATAGAGAGTTTCAGATTCAACCTGCGCAACTGAAGTTTCTGTGGGGTCTGTCGAAGTAGCACTGGAGTCGGTGACCCTTTACACCCTAATATCAGTATGCAAATTCTCCATACTGTTCTCTAAACATTTCCTAAGATGCTCACAAGGAGAATTTCAAGAATCAAGGGCAGGGCTCGCCACTAACGTTTCAACTGGCTAGCCGAATGGCCAGTGACAACTAAGATGTTACAACAATTTTAGTTTGTTTACTAGCCAAACTGGTCGGTGGAAATCGAAAATCACTAGCCAAAACTGAATTTTTATTAGTCTGTGGCCAGTTGGCTACCGTGAGTGTCGAGCTCTGAAGGGCCTGTTTAATTAGTGATTATTTCCTTTATTCTCCTGACCTTAATGTTTGATTCAGGGGAGATATTGTAAGGAGAAATTAAATGCTGGTCACTCTAAGGGTCAAAGAGTTAATCGACGCAAGTCTCATCGCTAAGTTTTCTTGGTCTCATTTAGGTGCTTGGATCCAGTGTTGACCATTGCAGCATGCCTTAATTATAAACATCCATTTGTGTCGCCGCTCAACTTGCGAGAGCAGGCCGATCAGGTAAGGTACTAGCTTTCTAGTTTCATCAGGTTCACATAAACTTAAAGACTAGAAAATGGTTGATAGTGTTTACGGGAATTTGAAAATCTGATACATTTATGATATCCGTACTGCGAATGGCTGTGAAAACTGGCCGCACATCCTCAGCCAAACGAATGGAAGAAGTAGAAAAATGAACTGCAACTTGATCAGTGCGTTTTTCTGTATTTCGTGCCCTATTGTCATTAGTACAGTATATGTTGAGGTTATCTGTCGTGTCTGCACATAGCTAACTGAATAAGTCTTCGTTATTGTTACTGAAACAGTCTTTGTTATTTCATTGATTCATGTAGTAGGGAAGCAGCTAGAGGGGAGGGTTAACAATCAGATCCTTGGAGCAAAAGGGTTATTTTAGAACGATTTAAATTACATCTCAAACTGTCAGCAGTTCTTAGTTCTTAACTTGCCGTGTCTCGCGTAAGATCATACATTGCAACCTTGACACTCAGTCTTCAGTGAGGAAAGATTATTATCGTTTGATCTCTTGTCAGTCTCGCAAAAGCTTTGCCGGTGACAGCAGAAGCGACCATGTGGCGCTACTGAATGCTTATAATGGATGGTTAGAGGCAGTGAGCCGATCTCAAGGAAAACAATTTGCTCAGCAACGGTTTCTTCACTGGGGCACGCTCAATATGATCCGCGGTAGGTACCAGTTCTCTGTTGACAGGCCTACTCTGGGTTGAGTTGCCTTAAGTCGCTATTATTGGTTACGCAATGTTATAAGGGTTCCGCCCTTCCCAAATGACCCTATTCACCCCACTTTAATCATATTGTGATTAATGCAAGGGATTCTGTAAATATTTTTGCGGGTTATGGAAAAACTGTTGCTAACCTTGATTTTATCACTTCAGTCAAATAAAATCGCTTGAAGTCGTCTTAAGTCGCCTTAAGTCGCAATGTTTTTTTAGGCCAATTTTGCTTAAGTCGCTTTAAGTCGCCTTAAATCACCCAAAGTCGCCCAAAGTTACGGCGACTTAAGACACCAGAATAGGCCTTTTGACAGTACAAACCTTCTAAACGTTCTTTCCGGTTTATTTTGTTTCATGAAAATGTCGATTTCTCCCCATTTAGTTTCCTAAGGGGGAAGACATCTCTGTCTAGTTGAAGTGTTAGGCAGTATGTCACGATCCGAAGCAGCAAGTTTTGCCTTCCTTCTGTCAATTCAACGTGTGAGGGAAACCCGAATTTTCCCGGCAGCGTTGAATGTTGTTTATTTTCTCCTTCTAAGAATCTCATAAATCTTTCAACAAACTACGTCAAGAAATTGTGACGTAAGGCTTGGAAATTTGATCCTAAATACCTGGGAGCAGCTATATATCGATGATTTTATTTTTTCCGTTTAAGAAATTTGTCAGTCACATTCCAGGCTTGATCACATTCAGTGTGTGACCACTTTTACAGACTCCTCAGAAGTCGTCGAAAATAAATACTCCTTTGTGTCGCATCTTCAACTCTTGTTGCACTGTAACGCGTCTAGCACTTTTTTTTTTACAAAAGTTTTTTCCCTCTACGATGATTCCTGTTTGATTTTTTTTTTCACGTTAAAGAACCTTAAAACTAAAGAGAAGAAACATTTAATATATGAATATTTTATGAATTATCAACTTATGTCACGAGCGTAAAACAAAGGTAAAGATCTTTGATGGTCTCTCGTGGAGATTAAGATCCTTCCGAGTTTAGCCGATGCGGTCAGATGATCCAACACTGAGGTATAGAGAACTCGATTGTAAGTAAGGAAAACTGAGACTTGGGTACAAAGGTTTGATTATGTCGGGTTAAACCAACACCTAAACCCCCAGTACAGATTAGGAACGATTTTTCAAAAGGAATACCTTTATTCCAGTGAACGAAACGACAAATAGTTTCGCGGATAAGACTTACTCAACACTCTGTGACGAAGTTGTGCGCATGCAGCCGTCTATTCTAATCTAAGTGGAACGAGAGGATAATCTGATCTAATCCTATTTAAGTTTGTAATGTAGGACTGTCCCTACAAGGATCTTAAGTCGTGTTGAAGGCGCAAGGTTATTTTTCTTTTTTCGGAGGTTCTAGTCAACTTCTAAGGAAAATGTTACAGTTCTGCCCTCCTGAGGTAAGCGGCTGAAAAAGGGAACATTTCCGAAACGGAAGATGCCCCGCCCTGCGTTGGTGGGCCAACCTCTTCCTCTCCTTTCACCTGGTCGTTTCAACACTTTGGAGCACAGGATGTTGATTATCAACTGTGACTACGAGTAAGCGTCGTCAAGCCGTTTTAAATTTGGGTCTCTGGCAAGTAACGCAACTGATGCAGTGAGGTTTGAAGGTAACCAGACGGAAATGTAGTCAAGTTCTTGACTGCGTTTGTCTTCAAATTTTGCGTTCCAGACTTTGAGACCGGAACAACATCTCCGTTTTTGTCTAGCGTGTATTTTCTCCCCAATAACTTAAAAATTGCCATTCGTACCTCTTTGGAACGAAAGCAGTACACAAATGGGTTCAAAGATGAGTTAATATAAACTATAGAAGCAGTTATTTTGTAGATAATGTTTAACCACAGGCTGTCCCCTTCAAGCAATTGTACCACAAGTGTAGTGATAAACGGAATATAACAGGCGAGGAAAAGGACAATTACGTAAAACATCGTCACTGCGGAGCGTTTGAAGCTGCGAATGTTTATACCAGCAGGCGCAAGATGTCTCTGGTCGCGAGTTTTATTGTGAAGGTTGCGGACTTGATGATAAATGCTGGAGTAGGCGAAGATCGAAATTGCAATGCTAGTCACATCCATGACAAAAATGGTGAGCACAAGTCTGTTGTACGGGGCACCTAAAATACGTGCCATGATCAAAGCCGTACACAGAACCCAGAAAAACATGACTACGGTCAAAACTCGCGGAATTGTCACCATCGCCTTGTATCGTAAGTGAAGTTTTATTGCCAAAAACCTCTCAACTGAAATGGCGGATATGACCAGGAAAGAAACTCCAGCGCATACCCAGGCTAAAGATCCCGTTGTGGTTATCTTGGCGAAGCAGAACCCGTCTGAGTTTCTTTGTATTTCGAAGATCATTTGTAGAGCGTATATTGGTTGAACGACGGCGCCGACTAACAAATCGGAGAGCGCTAGACAACAGAGAAGCGCGTTTGACGGCGTTCGGAGCGACCGAGTTCTCTTCACGGCCATAATAACAAGAATATTGCCCACTGTTGCTGTAAGAGAGGTCAGCAAGTTCACTACAATGAGGATAACGTTTGTTATAATAGCTTCCCTCGAGTGGCTCCACGGTTCTTCCAAATGGTAGCATTGTATCTTGGTTATTTTTGACTCTACGGACGTATAACTCGCCGTGGTGTTTTCCATGACGGAGGATTTTGATTAAGGAGCGTGCGACCTTTTATCTGAGTTGCTTACGTCGTTGGTGAAATCAAACTGTCACCAATGTTTGATATGTTGATATCAAAACAACGACGGAAGCGCGGAAATCCTATCTCAATCAAATTCCAGATGAAATTTAGGACTACCCTTGTCACAAATGTCTTGAAAGCGTTGACTCTGACGGCTGAGTGACGTTTCGCTTTCTTATGAAACTACAATGCTAATTTTTATGGTTTATGAGCGTGCTCGATTCGCAGAGTTAAAAATGTGTTTCCTTTTGACGGTAGACGGTGACAGACTAAAACATCCTGGCCAGACTGTTGTGATCGTTTTTCTTTGAGAGAAAGTTTCGGCCTCGGGATTTTCTTTAGAAACAAATCACTGTATTAAACGAGAAGTTTTTCTACAAATCCGATGAAAGTTTCATACCTTGTAATAGACCAAATGCGCTGTACGTAACCCAGATGATTTTGAAATACACCTCGTTGGAGTTCTTCGCTATGATGATGATGTAAGTAGGGGACTTGTAGTAGATCAATTTCCGGAGTTTTGTGTTTTTAAAAAGCCAGAGTCCTTCAGAGATACGTTTTTCCAGAAGTTTCCTTCTAAACGCATTAAATGTTTTGCTGTGATTGTTCCAGTTGGTTTCCTAAATGCCGGTCTTATAAATTCCCGCTGCGATAAATCACGTTTTTAAACTTCTTAGGAGCCCGATGACAAAAGGCCGAGTCCCTCGAGAATGAGTTTCGCTTTTCGGAAGTAAGAAATTAAAAGTATGGAAATTAGCATCACCTCGGACTCCAGTTTAGATTAAATATCTTCCGTATTTGCTTAGGCTATCATCAACTTTTTTTGCTAAACTAACACTGCTGTAAGCCTGTGGCAGTTTTGATGGCGTAAGGCTAATCAAGCCGGTAATAGAATCTTCGCTATTTCAACAAATGTCACTCGTACATTTTTTGCCTTCGAGTTGTTTTTCACTTTGGCAGTGCACCTGGCTACACCGCGTGGTTTTGGTTTGATAGGCGGTAATTAAATTTGTTATCAAACGCAAAGCGGGGGTTGTTAAGGCAAGGTGTGCGAAGGGAACGTGCTCCTCATAATTTTTTTTTTGTCTCTCTTCTATTTATTTTGTATTCATCTCCTTTTAATTGTTTTCTTTAATTAAGTGTTGTTCTTTGTTATACCCCCCTTGTTGACTTTTGCTAAAGATAAAGGGTTAGAAAACTTCCACGAAAGAATATTTCGTTCTGAAGAGTTTTACGGTCAAAATTTTAATCGGGCGGTCTCTAATAATCAATGATACATTATTAAGTAATTTTTTTATTATTATTTTATCGTTTTATGGTAAATACTAGCTCTGGGCTATCTTCTTTATGCCGATTGAGATTGATGTGAGTATTGTGTTTGTCCAACAAGCAATAGATTGATCGCATTATTTATTTAACGGCGTAACTTCAAATTGAAATTACACTTTACGAAATAATAGTGGGAATACTTAAAACTTGGTCACGTTGGCTTTTCCTCACACGTCTTTAACACCATGAAGATAATTGAAAATAATTGTGTAGCGTCTCAACTGAGCAAGCTTTATGCTGTGATAAAAAAGACAGAAATGGGTACTTAGATTTTCGCTGCATCCCACGCTCATGTCAGGCAATTTTTTAAAAAATATCTTTGGCCAGCTTTTGATGCTCTTCTTGAAAAGGCAAGCGTGCACGAGTGTTTTGGATAAAGAAGATCAATTTTTGAGAAAAATAGAAAAGACCAAAAAAAGACAAAACAATAGCAAAGAAAAGAAAAACACTTAAAGTGGAAATGAATGCTTATCGGTATATTTCAATTACGTAATGATCTTCTTTTGTTTTAGTATTTTTTTTCCTTTTTTGTTTTGTCTTTCTTTCATTTTTGATCATGTTGTTGAGAGTTTCCGAGTTACTTTTTTTGGAGTTTCCGAGTTACTTGTCAGTGAACCTTTTATAATCGCTTTTATGCTGTGTGCCGATCAAGTAAGTGCATCACCGCACCAACCCCTTGTTATTTTTGTTTTTTGCATTATCAGGTACGCGAGACCAATTCAGCCGCCTGCTTCATGACTCGGACTTAGTTCCAAGCTCCAGCAGTGATGACGCGGTCAACTACTTTTCTGGAAACATGGAACTGGTTAAGGTAAAGAAATTGTGTCGGCACAGCTATTTCGTTTTTCAATTTCCTTCTAAGATAAACATTTCTTTGTGAAAATTTAGGTTGAACGCAGCTTGACAGTAACACGTTTCTGCAATAAAATTTGACAAGTAATTGTAACTGTTTATTTTACATAAGAATTGTTATTGATAAGATCATGACAGATGTCCTCTTTACGTTGTTAGATGGTCACGAAAGAAGTTTTACCTCTAGCGAGAAGTATGCCGACTTCATGATATTTGAACCTTATGCAGAAGAAAGTGTTTTGATACCAGATTTCAACCATTTCCGAGAAGTTCCTTTATGTCGCTTTCCTATTCGTTTCTTTGGCTCCGTGTTACATTTTAGTTTGTTTTTTAATTTATCTAAGCTAGATATAATTTGTATTTATATTAGAGTCTGAAAAATGGGAATACAACAATTTTGCAATTTATTCAAGTAAAATTCGAGAGAAAACGAAGGTTGTATTTTATGTACAATGCAACGAATTGTTTACATCTTGGTATGATTTCCAAGTCTAATTTTCTAAAATTCGTGGAAATTGACCTCAATAACGAATTGGTATACTAACCTACTGTGATAATGTTACTTACATCCGCAGATTTTAGCGAGTTTAATTTGTTATCAATTTATTAGAAAATGAAATGATTATCCAGCGCGTTTTTAACTGGAAATTATTAATTTACGGCTGATTATTCTACCACATAGGCTATTTTATGCGCTGGTTTGTTTCCAAATGCTGTTAAAGTTGGTCTTGCCTTAGAATCTAAAGGAAGGGGAGGAAAGAAGCGAGTCAGAGTTGGTTTCAGAACCAAGTAAGTAAAGCGTCCCCTATTCAAGCAAATTTTCCATTTTAAGTGTTCTTTGGAAAGTTTTTCCTTGAAACGTCAGCGCATTCTCACTCTTTTTCAGACCCGTTCATAGGATAAATGCAACCATAGCGTAATGACAGCCTCGTTCCCGGGGTCTCTCATCTTCCCTCCATGTGGAGCGAGATAAGCGAGGTCCTGGGAACAAGGTTGGCACAATGAAGGTCTTCCAATTCCTCTGGGAAGCCTTGACTGCCCCATCAGCCTTGAGACGTGTTCTTTTGGCCGCCCACCCACCATAAGCAGAGCAACTCTCATATTCTGATGGTGGTTTTTGTTTTGTTTTGTTTTGTTTTGTTTTGTTTTTACTTCTTTGTAGATCTGATGGAAGAGTCGTATTGCATCCTTCCTCTGTCAATTCTGATGAGAAACAATTTCTTAGCCAGTGGCTTGTGTATCATGACAAAGTAAGGAATAATGTTGATATAACTATGTAGCATCTTGCATTCGATGGGCTCATAAAAATGGCGTCGTGTCAAGTCGATGTTTCCCGCGTTGGACGTTGCTGCCCAAGCGGTTTTTGAAAGAGAGACAAGAGAAATACAGAAACAAGCTGTCGAGAAACAATTCGCACATCCTAGTCGGCCTTCGGTTCTCAAATGTTGATTTTTTTCATTTAAGGTGAAATCCTCTCAAGTCTTTATCCGTGACAGTAGTATGGTCCACCCTATAGCTTTGATCTGTTTCTCTGGAAAGGACGTACGTGAAATTCATCAAGGTAATAGTGTTGGCCAATACTTCATTCACCATCACTAACAATTCCTCATTATCAATGTAATCCAAATCTCCAATCTGCGTTTTTTTTTTAACAAAGGCTACCACCTTGGAATCTTTTTTTTTTTTAACTCAGTGAACCTTTCCTGTAATTTTCACTGGATCACGATGGTGATTTTACTTCGCTCTGTGATTGGCCCGCTAGTTTTGTGCACGTTTGCGAGGTTTAAACCATAGAGCATTTTGTATTCTTAAATGCTTCATTTGGCGTTTGTTGGTAGCATTTATTTTCCATGCTTTGTTATGAATTAGCTTTACGGTAACCATAGGTCGGACTTTACGAACGCTGTAGTGTTGGCCCTTATCGAGACAAGTTTTTACAAGGAATAAATCCTTCTTCGATTAAATTTCAGAACACGGCCCATCAGTTCTGCAGCCCCGTGTTACACTGGCGGTGGGTGGGGACCAATGGATGGCGTTTTACTGCTCGCCAAGGCTTGCCCGAGTACTGCAGGCCATTAGACTAGAGATAAACAAGATGGTAGCTTGTAGTGTTTCAGCTGCAGTTACAAATAACGCGCTGTTTTACTACCACGGCAAGTTGATGGAGACTGTGGTCTTGCTGCTCACCTTGCCAGTACAGAAACCTCTCTCGTCTTCGCCTTGGTAGCAATGACTGCAGTGACTGCTTGAGTCAGCGTGATACTGTTGGTAGTACTCCAAAGAACTCGAGACGTTTGATACCCCCCACGTGTCCGTAAATCTAGACGTTGGCTCGAAAATATTTATTTTAAAATTGCCAGACAAACACCAATGAGCCTCGCGCAAACTGGCACATTAAATATAGAGCCAGAAACATCGCCACACAATCGGTCTGAGGCTATGATTCCATTGACCCAGTCAATTTATCCCATAAGGTTTTATTAGTATGGAAAGTTCGCGCAGTGCTCTACATCACGTACGTATGGAAATAAGAACTTTATTCCTAAGGCCGATGAATTAAGATTTATGACGCTATTTTACGTTTGCCAAACTTAAAATAGCTTGACCTGACTGGCCTTTTTGGTTGTTCCCAATGAAAACGACAGGTTAGGAAAAGAACCAAAAATATCAGAGTTACTTCGTAGGATAGGAGGTTCGTCACCAGTCAATATTCCCTTTGCATTTAGTTTCCCAAGCTATCCTGGTTTTTGCTTGGTTTATTTTTGCCTAAATTTTTGTAAATTTCTCTCACGCAAATAAGGGTGCGTTTTCACATGACGTCACCGCTTCCTTAACAATGTACCAAGCCAATCCTGTGGGAGTTTAAGTCTTGATATATACATATTTCTTCTGTTCCAATAAATTTGTGCAACTACACATCAGGTAAGTGAAGACCCTATTTATAAGTTGCAGTCGCAAAGATCCTGGGATAAGGATACCCCCATATGATGGTGCTTGGCGGGGTAAGGAGTGGGCCCAACTCATTCAAGACTCCTCGGTTTCCGTTTAATCTTATCACAGTCGATATTTCTACGACTAACTGGTGCCGTTTTAGTCAAACAAATAAAATCAAGAGCTATCGAGACCAGATTTTCCTTTTTAGCTTTGTTCTTTTGTTGTTTTTAAATATGCTTTGTATCGTTTTGAATGTTTGTGTCTACTTTTTTTCTAAGCCCAAACAAAAATCTCAGCGTTGCAGAGGGATTAGTTGGTGACGTCTTCTTTGGGAAGACAGAATCCCATGAGTCACGTCTTCACATCTGCGTGACATGTAACTGTCTCCGCTCAGAGAGGACCATTGCGTGACAGACTAGCCAGAAATCCAACATGCGATTTTAAGCCTGCCTAGGTTCAAAAAGATGATGAAAATCCCGAGAGGTCAACTGGCTTGAAGTGCCGTTTCCTAATACTATTTAATACAATCTCCTAGACCCTAATCAAAACTATATTTTCCTTGGCTAAAATCCACAAATCAAACTGTTTTCAATTAACGCTCAGATTTTTGGTAACTTGTCACGTAAACATCAGCTTTGACGGACAAATTGCGTGATCAATTAATTATGTGCATTAAATACGCCGAAAGTTAATCCGTCCTTTTTATAACCAAAAGTTAAAGACACGAACAGATTTTTGTTTTAGTGTGTACTTAGTTACTTTTCAACGTTACTTTGAGGGTAATTTGGTTAACAAAAGGTATAAGTGGAAGGTTGTTTGAATAGATACTAGAAGAGCCGATAAGCGAAACAATTCGTTGCGTAGCAACTTAAACAACAACACCACACGCGCGCTGTTAATGAATGCACGCTTGTGATGTCAAAACGTATGGATTTTAACATGCCTAGCGATGGGTTAACACTTCGTTCCGAACACGGTTCGCTTTGCTTTGCGCTTTACATCTTCTGTGTACAACGTCGTAGTTTTTCTTTGAGTGGAAGCTTTGGAATCCTGAAAGTGTGGATTTTTCATCGCGCGAACCCGTCCCTGATAGCTCAAACAACTGTTCGTTCGTTCTTCCGGCGATCTGACATTGTGTAATTTTCTCTGAGTGCCGGGGACGGTTCCCTGTCTTGTCGATTCGTCGCGATGCTAGAGTCATCCAAAAGGATTTATATCAAAGCGGAAGAGAGGTGAAGTCTTCTCCGACAACACAGGAACAATTGAAGTTTGTTTTGAGCGAAAACAGAAACTGTGAACCAAACCGATCAAAGATGGCGGCCACGAAAGTAAATTTTCCCGTACGATCTGATCACGAAAGTGGTCAAACATCCAAGAAAGTTACTTTCTTTATCAACGGGGATCGTAACTTTAAGGGCCAAGTGATGGTCATTACTCCAAGGCGATTTCGTAATGTGGACATGCTTTTGAATGAGCTGTGTCGTCTGACGCACTTCAGAGACTTGCCCCTGGGAGTCCGATATCTATTTTCCCTCGAGAGTGGCACCAGGGTTGACACATTGGATCAGTTAATTGACGGCAAAGCTTACGTGTGCTCTTCACACTCCAGCCTGAAGAAGGTATCATACGGAGGGAAGCCTGCGATCGCCCTTTGGAGCTCAAAACAACACATCGATTTCCCAGATATCCAACGAATGCCTCACAACGAGTCGAAACGCCGGCCTGTTGATGTTGCGCCGGTAAGAGGTGCCGAACCTTCGAGAAGACGGGGTTTCTCCGACCCTAGATCAAATCCAGAAGACAGCAATCGGTTAATAATCAAACCTAAAACAGTTCAGGTGATTAGAAATGGGTCGCAGAAACCCCGTCCGGTAGTAACAGCTCTGTTAAACAAAAGAACAGCGCAGAATCTAGAGCAAGTTTTGGACGAGGTAAGCAATTCGCTTAGAAACGCCGGTGGTCTTAGCCCACCGCGGAAACTGTACTCAATATCGGGTCACCAGATTCGCGATGTGCTTGAGTTATTTCGAGACGAAAACAATATATTTATAGCCGTTGGAAGCGAGAAATTTAGCCGTGAGGACATCACGGATATCATGGAAGATTTTGAACAGAGGAACTCGAAAAAAGAAATGGCTAAACGAAAACAGTCGAGAATTGGTAACGATGGAATGTCGCAATCAAAACAAAAAAATACCAAAGAACACGAGCAGCTGAAACCTATCGGTAAATCTGTTAACAAACCCGAGGAAAACAAGCTGCCAAAGCTTCCAGACATACATAAAAAAGTCGAGAATAAACCAAGGCCTGAGAACATTAACAGAACGCACGTGCAAGGAAACTCAAACCCGAAACGAGTTCATCCCGCTAAAAATACTTATGAAAGAACTGCGGAGAAAAAGCCTACGAACTCTGTAAAGTTGCCCCAAATCGGGAACGCTAATTTAGTTTCGAATTCAGAGAAGGAGAATGTAAAAAACTGGGACTTATCTCGACAGAATAACGAAGAAAGTGACCGAGTTAACGAATCGATTGAACCATTCGACGTGCGCGAAGTAGACACGACTAAATCCAGTAGAAAAGTGTCCGTGAGTAAAAAACGCAACAATGATAAAATTGACAGAAAAACCTCAAGGGATGATGGTGGAATTACATCAGAAGAGGAGGCAAAATATGGTACTGTCACAGACAAAACTGTAGAAGATGTTTACGACATGGGCAAGAAAATCGGAGACGGGAATTTTGCTGATGTACGCGTTTGCAGCCATAAGATAACCAAGAAAGACTTTGCGTTAAAAATCGTCGACAAGGCGAAAATTCGAGGGAAAGAACAAATGATTCGGGACGAAATAGACATCATGAGAAAATGTAAGCACCCGAACATTGTACGAATGTACGAGGATTACGACTCGACCAGGCATATTTATCTGGTTATGGAATTGATAAAGGGTGGTGATCTCTTCGATGCAATTTCTTCGTCAGTCAAGTTTACCGAAACTGTTACCAAAAATTACGTCAAAGACATCGCGAAGGCACTGGCTTATTTACACAAAAGAAAGATCGTACACAGAGACTTGAAGCCTGAAAACTTGCTGGTAGGTAATAAATCCATTATTATTGATTAACGCTGAACTGCGGACTGTGTGAATGCATCCATGGACTAATTTTCACTAATTTCAATGCTAAATTGTTGAAGACTTAAAAACATTTAGCGTCTTAATATTTCTATTGTGTTGTTGAATACAAAGAAAGGAAAACTCACCGCGGCTACGCTTTGAAATCAAACAATAGCGACGCCTTTGTTTTATTAAAAATACCCCGCTTTTGTTTGACCAAATTTTAACAACTATATAGTTCAGTGATGGAAACCATGGCAACTTAATGCCTCCAGCGATCTGGCGCGATTTTCTCCAAAATGCTGCGGCATCGATCGGTAATTTAAGTCAATCTGATCCAGTTAGAATAAGTTTCAAGCGTGAGTAACTTACCGGCGGAAATTAGGGAACAATTTCATATTCAAAGAACAAAGGAACCTCGTGACCTTGTCGTGACTCCCGTGAAGGGTCTTCGGTGGTAAGTGTTTATAAGAAAGTAGAAGAAATTTTCACTCATTGATGCGTGTCCAGAGGTGCATTTTTCTGGGTTTCGTATATTTTTCCTCCGCGTAGGTTAATGGTTAGGTAAATGAGCAATTGCTAAATTTAACAATTATCCGGCGTAAGTGACCTAAACCAACACGTACTCGCGAGAAGTCACGCGCGAAAGCCTTAGTGTTGTAACATAGACACTTTTTTGGGCGTTCTTGCGCATCTTCGAGTTCTCATTTTGGCTTTCTGAGCTTGACTCGCGGAAAATGTTATACGAAACATTTCCTCTCTGAAATAGACAGTATTTATTTATGAGGTTAATAGGGTTCCTATTTTCCGTTTTATGCCGTGAATTAGTTAGCGACGGAGGAGGCTGACGAAATGCGTTATTTTTTTTCTTCTGCAAAAATGCTTCTCGACTGGAAATTTTGTTCTACCCATTGTTGCTCGGTAGGAGTTTTAGAAACAACTAGAGGGAGAAAAACACGCGTATTGTGCTTTAAATTTTCCACTCGTTATACTCACATGTAAATTGTATTTTGTTTTGGGAAAGGTGATTTTATCATTTATCATTTATTCCTGCTATTCACACATTGAAAGAAAAAAATACACAAGAGCAGCCAAAGCCGGGAGCTTAAATGGCCTAAGGTCAGCAAAAGACGTGAAGAATTTACAAGAGTAGAAGAAAGCTTTAACTAAAATAATTACAATACAATTAATCCAAGAAAGAAAAGGTCAGTCAGAAAACTTACAATTGAGATACTTGGGAACTAGTCTAAATATTTAAACGACTAATAACAAATTCCTATAAAGCACACTAAGAAATATTTAACAATTATTCTACGAGCGCGCGTTGGATTTGAGATGATAGATAGCCAACGAGGCGCGTAGCACCTCGTTGGCTATATAATCATCTCGTCTCCAAAAAGCGCGAGTGGAATAATTGTTTTATTAAAAAAAAGCCCCCAAGATATAGGACAAAT